CTTCAATTTCCCCTTCGGACTCACGCACTCATGTTTTTTTTGTTGGTCTGTTGATGCAGCCTGGCCGGCTCTCGGTGACCTTCTTTGGGCCAGCACCAACGACGCCCAACTACTCTGTGTTCAATGTGCAAGGAACTGCATCGGGCTACACCCAAGCAACTGTTGTTGACACCAGTGGAGGCGAGGTAATTTTGCTAGCCCTTTTCTGTTGGTGAACGTTTGAATATCTATGTTGGTATTAACCCTTGTTGTTATTATTGCAGGCCACCATCTGGCTTCTGGCTCGCACACCTACAATTCCGCAGTCCGAGATAGATGCTGCGTTGGCGCGTGTTACTGATGCTGGAGTACGATTAACAGGAGCCAACGCATTCTTGCTCACCGACCACACTACAAGTTGGTGCACCAAATATTGGAGCACATTAAGATAATGTGTTACTGGTACACTTTGCCTTATATATCGTAGTGAGCCTCAAATTGTAGTTGAAGTCTTCTCACTCATTGTGTGATCCACAACAACCCCCGTCAGCATTTCAGCAAATACCTTAGCGGTCATCGATTGCTCGACTACCCTCGAAGTAATCTAGATTGTGGTTGCTACTGCACCAGTAATTTACTACTTTGACGCGCTTCGGTTCTGAATGGAGAGCTTTTTCGCCCCTGCGGAACATTACCGGCTGAAGTTCGTGGCGCAGCATGCTTGTGCACAGTCTCCCGTACATCTGACCCCCGCCAATGTCGGGTCCTCTTATTTTCACCAGCTAAGGTCAGCCAAGGGCAAACTCTCCACCTGGTGCCTATCGCAACGAAAATTCGGCCAAGCTTTTGATTTCTAGCTACCAGTTTGGCAAAATCGATGATCGACAGCAACTTTTACACCTCCACAACTCAGGGTGTCTGACGGATCAAACAGGATAACGCTAATGGTGCCTCAAGAAAAGTCGTTTTGGTCAAATTGGCGGGGGTTGGGTGTACAGTGCACTTGCAAATGTCCAGCCACTCACTCACACTCTCGCCAGCCACCAATTGTACCAAATTGGCGGTGTAATTACCCAAATAGTTACTGGTACACTTTGCAAATGTCCAGCCACTCACTCTCACTCACACTCTCGTTTTCTCCCTAGCAGCGGCCCCAAAAAGGCGAAGCGCGCGTAGGTTCGGTGGAATTGGTTCGTGGTCCTCGTTACACACCAGACGCAGACCGAAAGGGGCAAATCCACATCAGCACGCAAATAGCCAATAAACGCTCACCCACCAGAGGTTGTTGTACAGTTCACACACCGAATGCAAGCATCCGATTTTGGGCCAATTTTCAAAAGCATGCGGTGCGGGTTTTGCTCACAAAATGTTGGGTGTGTGGAACAGAAACACTCACTTCGAGTCTATTCACACCACACCACACCACACCAGACGCTCCTACAAAGTAGTTAGTGTGTGGTTGATTGTAGTGCAGCTACTCCTGTCGACGTCAAGTGCTGGCATTCGGTTCGGACTGCACTAGTAGGCGCGTCAGTCACGCCGGCAAGTTCTCAGCAGACTATCAGGCTGTCGACTGCCCACAGCGATGGCTGCTCCCTGGCTGGCGCAAGTTACGGCAGCCGTTACGCTGCTCCTCGCGCTTTCTGCGCTAACTCCCGCCTCCGCGTCGTTCTGCGCCGACTATCTGCAGGCTTTCAAATGCCCCAAGCTCGCGTCTTTCGACACCGTTGACATCTCTGCTTACACGGTATGTGTAACCACTTACTGTAACCGTTGTGCGTTTAACGCGTGGATCAACCGACATTTGGTTATGAAAGCACTTTTTGCGGTTTATGCCACTCGCATGTGAGTCGGGCCTCCGCGACGTCTGGCGCTGGCCGGGTCATCAGGTCGCCGCGGACGACTGATGTGGACGGGAAACGAGCGAGGACATCCCCGGTGTTGTCAAGTCAAGGTTCAAAGTTTCGGGGAATATCGTTTCTTGGAAGTGACCCAGAAGGAGTTTTCAACTGCGGCTTTCCACACAAAATGGCATCGTGCATGTGTGCATCCCGTCTTGCATCATAAAGTTTGCATTGAATTACTGCTCGTATGCCATTTCGTGTCGGGAAGTGGCTTTGACGTTGCCGATGGTTTCTTGCCACATGGATGATACACCACTGACACTCGCCCTGACAGGAACGGCCCATTTCCTGCCTTCTCCCTTTCTCAGCGATGTTGACGCGCTGCTTCGCATCGCCCAATACGGCCGGACATCCGGGCCTTGGCGAGGACTCCTCGCAGCGCCCGATCGCGGCGCCCTCCTCGTAGTACTAGCAGTCACGAACTTTGTTCTCCTCACCCCTCCTGCCCGTGCCATCCCGTCCCCCTTATTCACCTTACTTTTCCTCCCCGCCACCTCCCCGACCAATGCCCATGATTCCCAACGACGCCGTGACCTTTCAGCCTGATCTATCACTTTATCTGCTCGCCTTGACTTGCTGTCGTGTGGCAGGGTCGGTGGTACGAGGTGGCGTTGACAGCGCGGTTCCACTACGAGAGGGAGGTGGGGCTCACGTGCACCACGGCGGATTACACGCCCAATGGGGAGGTCAACGGGCAGAAGCGAATTAAGTAAGTGAGACGCGAGCGAGTTTTAAAAATGTGGGTGGGGCCCAAACTCACCTCCCATGCAGGTTTCAGGAAACCTACACGACGCACCACAATCCGTGCTCACACTCACTCTCGCAGCGAGTGCATGTACGATAGGAAGTGGCGACAGCTTTTGTGTTGCGCTCGCGGTTGCAGCACTGCAGCGATCATGTCGTCACTGCCCACAATACAATATCCCTTCTCGTCCATTTAGATTAAGGCTTAAACTCCATACCCTCCCTCCGTCCTTACTCCACATTTTTCCTTCTCCCACCCACCCCCCGTCTCCCCATGCTCCCCCCGTCTCAACCCTCCGCCCTCCGCCCGTCCCTCAGGGTGCTCAACCGCGGCAAGCGCAGCATTGCCTTCGGGCGGCAAGCACAGGTTCTTCTGTCCTCTACAAACGCCGGCCGCATCGCCACCAACCTCGGGATTGTCTGCCGAGTCGCATACAACGCAGCCAAAGCGAGCGCGCAGGCGCAGGCCCTCCTCGCCGCCAATGCCTCCGCGGGTGCCGCCACAAGCAGCGTCGGCGCAACCTCAGGCCCGCTCGCGGCAGCAAATCAGCTTGCGGCATCTCTCGCCTCAGTGTCGTCTGACGCGGAAATGATAGACAACGCCGCGAGGGACTTCCAGACGGCGATGAGCACGATGAATGAGCGGCCGAATCCCAAGGATTACAGCAAAGCCAAGGGCAAGATGCTCAAGTCCATCTCCAACAGCCAGGGCGCTGCTGGGCGGATCTTCCAGGCGGGGTTCACTGGGAGGACTGCAGCGAAGCAGCTCAGTGGAGTGCTGCAGTCCCTGGGCGGACAGGACGCCAAGACTGCTGCGAGCGGGGTATGTGCTAGTCTCTCACAAAGCATGCTGTATCTTTTCAACCCTGACAGGGTTGCAGGGTACCTTCCCATTTGTCTTAACCTTGGCTGTCCTGGTTGCATTGCCATATCCCGTGTGTGTGGTGAGTGCAGCTGCAGTCGTTTCTGGGCAACACAAGGCTGCTGTTCGCATCCACGAGCATAAGCAGGCTCGCCACGGCTATGGTTCCCGTGGTGCTCTCCATGGTGCCCTCCCCCTTCTCCCGCGTGGGTCAGGGCGGGTTTCCACGCGCCAAGGCCATCCAGAGCAAGAGCAATGTGAGCGCTATTGCCGTCTCCCCATCCCCTCAACTGCATGTATTTCTTGCCCTTTAGGCATAGGAAGTGCCCCATCTTCTTTGTTGCATCATGCAGCGGATGTATGGTGTTTGCCAATTTCCGTAAACGATGTGTTCCCTCATGCTTGCAGGCTGGCAGACTTTTTGTGATATTCTATGGTGTCAAGTCAAAGGAGCCCAACTACATCATCACTGACTTGCAAGGAGACGCTTCCAGTGGTTACAGTCTTGCCACAGTCTATACTTGCTATAAGGGCAAGGTACGTCTGCATTAACTGCTGTGCCTATTCGCATCCTTTGTGTGATTCTCTGACCCCCCTTGATTTCCCACTGCAGACAACGGTTTGGCTTCTGTCTCGCACCCCCAATGTGGCTCAATCAGATATAGATGCTGCTTTGGGCCGTCTCACAACTGCTGGCCTCCGGCTCACAGGCGCTAATTCATTACAGCGCACTGATCACACTCAGAGCTGGTGCAAAAATTATTGGAGCCGACTAAAGTAGCCCCTGGTTAATATATATTTAATGCGGATCCTGTAGGAGTTTTATTGATGGGGCATATGATGTTTGTTCAGCTACATCAGAAAAATGACTTCTTATGAGCCAGCTGTACCATTTAGCGTCACACTTTTCCTTCTCGCGTCGCAACGGAGCCCAAATTTGGGCGCCCACCAAGATTTCAACAACATTTTCACCGACATCCCGAATCGCGCATCTGAGAGTGACACGACGGTCCCCCCCCTATACCCCCTCTCCCCCTACTCATTTCGCACCGACGATGCAACACACAACACAAAACTCCACATCATCGACCTTCTCCGTTCTCGTGTCTGAAGCTGAAACACTCTGTATTGTTGAATCTCCAGAAGCACGTAGATTAAATCTTGCTTTATAGCTACGGCCACTGCTGTTTTTATGGAAACAAGGTGTTTCCGTGTGTGCTTGCTCGTTCTACCGCTCGCTATCCTGCTCGCGACGCTTTTGTCACCACCAGCGCTGGCACAAGACGTGTCGCCCAGCGATGGCTCCAACGATGTACCCTTCTGCGAGAAATTCGTTGAGGATTCATCCCCAAAGTGCCCAAACGTCGAGACTGTGCCGAACTTCAACATGGGCAAATTCATGGTAAGCACCGCCCGTCAACCACCGCCCACACGCCAATCCTCTCGTACCACGGTATCTCTCAAATCCTCTTCCTCCCTTTCGGTATTCCGCTGCCCCTTTTGCCGAGCAGGGAAAGTGGTACGAAATCGGCGCGACAGCGTTGGGCAAGTTTCAGAGCAAGGGCGAGCTGGGAATCGCGTCTATAACCTACACCTACAGCACCGCCAAAAAGGGAAATTCCCGCGGCGCCCTCAGGTACCGTTACAGCCCACTAACCAAGCTTCACTCACACCGCACCCTCACGTTACTCTGATTCCCCAAATTTCCGAGCAACTCCCGACCCTGTCGCTTTATTCCCGCGTCAGCCATGGTCTTTATTTGTGCCTGCTCCCCTTCACGCCCGAAGCCTCACGCGCCAGGGCGTGGTGGCGGTGATGCCGATGCGCCGCGGCCAGGTCGCCGCGATCTCCGCCGCCACCACCGTTCTCGCGCAGCAGCTGCGCGCCGTGTGCGGCACGGTGTCGTCGGTGCGCACGAAGCAGCAGCTGAGCACGTCGTACCTCACGCTCGGTTCCGAAGAGCTGCCGGTCGACGTGAAGCAGTCCGTGTCGTACGGCCTCGGGAGTATCGAGGGTGCGGTGGCGGATGTGTCACGGCGCGCGGAGGCGCTCTGGGCGGAGTTGGACGATGTGCAGCGCGCCAATGCGCAGTTGAACCAGCGCGACTCCTTCGCGCTGGTGGCGCGGATGAAGATCGCGTTGCGGAGCGCGTCAAGCGCGATTCAGGGGGCGGCGAAGGGAATCGACGCGAAGCGGAACGAGATGTTTTCTATCGCTGCCATGAACCGCGTGATTGTAGGCGGTGTGACTGCAGCGCAGGGCAGCGCCAAGGGAAAGGAAGCAGTACGTGAACTATCACGAGTCAGGCTCAAGTCTGCGCTTCTAAATACAAAGCTGCATTCTCCATTCCTGACAATGCCTTCCTTCCTGTCGTCGTTTGCGCTGATCATGGCTCAATCCTCGTGATTCCATCTCTCCATGTCCACGTGGCAGATCTCCCTGGCTATGGCGAACGTGATGACGGAGTGCCAGAACGGCAGCACCTTCTCCCAGCGCGTGGCGGCGCTGGCCTCCGCCACGCGCTCTCTGTCGCCCCTCGTGTCGAGCCTCTTCAGCAGCCCCAGCCCTGCGCTCTACACCACACGCACCACCGCCACCGCCACTCTCAAACTTACCTCCGAGGTTGGGTGATGGCTGTTGGACGGGGGAATGCATACAGTTGGCAACACTCGTTTGGGCTGTGGTTTCTTCTCTTTTATTTTCTTTAACTGCTGTGCTAAATACATTGCTGTATTCTGTGGGGTTTGTGGCAGGCTGGGAAGATGATCCAGCAGTATCAGGGCGTGCAGACAGACCACTGGGTGATTGGTCTGTGGGGCAATTCTGCTAAGGGGTACTCACATGCACTTGTGTACTCGTGCTACCAATCCACGCCAGGCTTGTCATCAGATCAAGATGGCCAGGTGAGGATTGCATGGCTTGCAGCATCACCCCTTGTTGCTACAAACTTGAATTGTTCCTGAATATTGTTTTCAATTTCTTTTTGTTGCAGGTCACTGTCCGGCTCCTTTCTAGGACGCCTAAACTTCCCGAGGCGTCCATTAATGAAGCATTGAAGCTTCTATCTGACAAAAATATTGATTTAAGTGGACCTAATCCATTTACATTCAGTGCCCAGTATGGCTAAATTTGTTAGATGTATTCATTTGTATTAGTGTTATGTTCATTAACCACTGAATTCCCACACTTGTAGGGTATCACTGTGACGAGTACATTTTCAAAGCCAACAAGGCAAAATGTATCACACTTGTCATTCCCGTTGCCCACCTCCGTTGCATACCCTCGTCACCTCTAACATCGCTTGCTTGCCGCGTGTCGAGCAACGCTGTTCGTGTGCTGTCGGGACGCAGCATGACATAGCGATTCATGAAGCTCACCGCTCACCGCAGCCAGCTACTCCAGTGTTCTCCAAAACACCAGGGTCGTAGAAAGAACTCGACGGTTCAAGTTTTACAGGCTGCATCAGTAATCTTGAGATTCATCCGTTTTCGTAACTGGATAGCATTCACGCACTGCTGCTGAATCAAATACACTTTCTTGGTCCATAAAGTCGAACATGGCCACTCAGGTACTTCCCTGCGCATCTTTTCCCTTCTTGTTTAGTTCCCTCTGCTTTTCCTGCGCCTTCGAGTACTTGCTTACTACGATTGCGATGGGTGCGCGTGTTTGCGGCGATGGTGCAGAGGAACGTGAAGGTGGCGGTGGCGGTGGACGGCAGCGACAACAGCATGCACGCGCTTCGAGAGGCGGTGCGGCTCTTCGCGCGCACAGCCAAGGAGTTCCACATCATGCACGCGCACAAGCCGCCTAATGGTAATCCCACCCCCCACGAAGCAGGCAGAATGTTTTCCTGGGAAGAAAAACTACCTTTTCTCTCTATAATGACTGTTATCACACTCTTGTGTGCAGTTTCTTGCCTAAGTGGAAACGTGAGGTATGTTGTATGGTTTGCTCCATTGCAGCTATGCAGTACTGCAATCTACCTGTTCCCGTGTAACTAATTTTCCTGCCAGATCCGGGGTATTGCTACACCCCCATGTCCCCCATGCCTCTACCCGGCGAGCGTCCAACAGAGTTCCGCACGGACTCACTGTTCTCATGGCAGGAGTACCACCAGCGCATGGAGCACGAGCGGCACACCAAGGCACAGCAGCTGCTGCAGAAGTGCGCTGCTGTGGTGAGGGAAGAGGGAGGGAAGCGGGGGGTGGACGAGGGCGTGGCTGTGAGTGGCGTGGATCTCAAGGGCGACCCTCGGGATGTGCTGGCCAGTCACGTGCAGAGCGTTGACGCAGATCTCATGGTCATGGGGACACGTGGCATGAGCCTGCTCAAACGGTGAGGCTTCCTGTGGAGTGATTTTTAACAGAGAAATGCTGGAGTTTTGTCGGTGGATTGTTGGAGCTTCCAAGGGAGTTGCTATTACCAATGGTTGTTCTTCTCTGCCTTGGTAATTTTCTTCCCACCCACCTCCCTGTGTCACGTCCCTGTCTTCGCAGCATGGCTCTGGGGAGTGTGAGCTCGCACTGTGTGCACCATGCTCCTTGCCCAGTGTTGGTTGTTCCATTGAAAGCAGATGCTGCTCACGATTCAGTATCAGCACCCAAAGCAACTGCCACTCAAGCTGGAACATCCGAGCTGGAGACTCATGCATTGTCTGCTGCAGGAGGTGCTTGAGTTTAGTTTGGTTTGCCTGCCTTCAAAAGTATCTTCCGAAAAGGTCTGTAGGCATGTTAGTTTAGGAATTTGATGCTAACCGGTTGTGGCAAACTGTAGAAAAAAGGGTAGAATCATGCGTCTATCCAGGAGGTCATTTAGTGCTACTAAGAATGAAAACATGCTGGTTGATGAGTACGAAACTACTGTATGCTTATATGCAAGAGCTGATGAAATCTGTTATGAAGGGGTTGTTGTATTTTGTAAATGGATGCCCTTTCGAGACGAGGTTTGCGGGACAGCCAATCACAAGGCCTCCCGTCGTCATGACCTTTCCGGATTCGTCGAGCGGTCAGACCACCCTGCAACACTGCAGGAGTTGTTTGTTTCTGCCGAAGGGATTGAACCCGCGGATCATGGAAAGACGTGCGATTGAGCAGATCCCAGCTTGGGAAACGAGAAGATGTCCGCTCTTCCGCACGCCCATCTGCGCCTAGATGCTCCTCCTCCTAAATCCTCTCCTCTCCACCCGCTCCCCCTCTTCCCCCCCTTACCCGCGGCTGTAAAGCGGACCAAGCTTCCTGCGACTGCCACCAATCCCAAGGGCCTCCGCCCAGCCCCCTCGCGGATCTTCCCGACTTTTGGCCTGGCCTGTCTGATCTGAACTGAAGTCAGGAAAGGACATCAGGTGTCCGCTGCAAACAAGTGATGTCTAATCTTATCAAATGTTCATGGAATCTGGACCAAAACCTGACTACAGAAGGCGATAAGGCTTCATCACTGTGGGAGGAGGTAGTAGATAGAGAGTCCGAGTTATGGGTAAGGAAATGTACTAGGGCATCCAGTTTCATAAGCAGGAATGTGACATTCATTCGGCTAGCGCCAGCCACGCACAACGCTGTTGATCATCATGACTCGCGCCGCTAAAGCCATAGGGCCGTCGAGCTCGTTCCGCGACGTGACCCTGCTCGAGACGCCACTCCTTAAGGACCACGCTAGCAGCGGCTCGCAGACTGCACCGAGGCGCCAGAACTCCGTGGGTCCCACGGTCCGCATTCTCCGCTTCGGGTTCGGCCAGAGCCGGGAGCAGTCATGGCTGTCGCAGCTCAACCCCTTCGCGTCGCTCCGCTTCTCCGCGTCGCTCGCCGGCACGTGGCAGCTGGTGCGCGACGCCGTGCCTGGATTGGCTGCTGTCGTACGACGTGCGGCGCGACCTGAAAGGCGACATGGTGGCGGGGCTGTCGGTGGGGTTCATGATCATCCCGCAGGGCATGGCGTACGCGCGCGTCGCGGGCCTTCCGTCCATCTACGGTCTCTACACCGGCTTCGTGCCGTGCCTTGTATATAGGTCCGTGAAGGGCGGGTACTCGGCCACAATGCTTCAATGCGGCACGACTGGTGTTATGCAATACGGGTGGCTGGATGAGAAGTTAAGGCGTGCGTCGTACTGTGGTGCGCTGTACTCTAGTGCCTTTTGCTCGAGCTCTGTTCATCATGACCCCCTCTCATGCACCAACCCCACTCCGCATGCTCTCCTCGCGCTGTCCCCGTTCTCTCCCCGCGCCCTCCCCGCGCTCTCCCCGTTTTCTCCCCACCCTCCTCGCGCGCTCCCCGTGGCGCGCAGCATATTCGGCAGCTCGCGGCAGCTGGCGCTGGGTCCCACGTCGCTCGTGTCGCTGCTGGTCAACGAAGCCATCAAGTGAGTGCTCGCTGCTGGTCAACGAAGCCATCAAGTGAGTGCGCGCTGCTACTGCGCTGCTCCTGGCCGCTCGCTGCCCCAGCAGCCATACCCTTGCAGCTCATCGCGTCCCTCTGCCATCCGCGCCTCGTTTCTCCATGCACCTCAAGTCCTCCTCTCGACTCCTCTCCTCCACTCACCCTCACCCACTTCCTGTCCCCACCCAACCTTTCCCGCAAACCCCCTCCGCATTTCCCCCATTTCCGTCCTTTCACCTCTCTCCCCCTCGTCCCCCCGCCCCCCCCGCATCAGGCAGATGGCGGACCCAGACTCGCACGACCCCGCGGAGCAGCGCCTCTACCTGGGCCTCACGCTTCTCCTCTCGCTCATGCTCGGCGCGCTGCAGCTGCTCGCAGGGCTACTTCGTCTCGGCTGGGTGGTGCGCTTCCTGTCGCACGCCGTGGTGTCGGGCTTCAGCAGCGGCGCGGCGATCATGCTGGGGCTCATGCAGATGCGCTACTTCCTCGGCTACACCACGCGCCATGAGACCATGCACATGATTCTTTATGATATCTTCGTCAACCTCAAGACCACGCACGTGCCCTCGCTTGTTATGGGGGTGCTAGCGCTCGCGTTCCTGCTGATCATGAAGGTGTGCTCCCGCGCTCTCTCTGCCTGCCAGCATCGCTCAGTCTGACTCTCACTGCTGTTTCGCATGTTTGTTCGACCATCCAGCTGCCTGCTTCCAGTTTCCGACCCTACCTGGGTGCATGCTGCCGGCTCTCTCGCCTCGCCCCTGAGCCACCCCCGCCCTTCCTCAGCCCCTTCACACTCCAACGCCTCCCACATCCATCCCCATCTCCTCATTCCCACCCTCCCTCTCCCGCTCTTCCCACCTGTCCCCCCCCCGCACCTGGGCAAGCGCCACAAGCACAGCGCATCTCCCAAAATTTCGGCCCCATCCTAGCGCCCATGTCCCCCCTCCCCCCCTCCCCCCCTCCCCTCTTATTCCCTCGCTCATCTCCCCCGCGCGCCCCCTCCCCCCCCAGCACCTGGGCAAGCGGCACAAGCGCCTGCGCATCCTCCGCACGATGGGTCCCATCGTAGCAGCGGCCATGGGCACGGCGACCATCTACCTGCTGCGCAACCCCTGGCACATCCGCGTCACAGGGCTAGTTCCCTCCGGCCTCCCCTCGCCCTTCTCCGCGTTCCCCTGGGCGCGCTGGCGCGACCTCGTGTCGCCCGCGCTGGTGATCGCCAGTGCGGCGTATCTGGAAACGATCGCCATTGCCAAGACGCTCGCTGCAAAGAATGGGTACTCTGTGGACGCCAACCAGGAGCTCGTTGGTGCGTGGGACGAGGGGGCTGGGCGCTGGGGGTTGAGGGGAGAGAGGGGATGGGGAAAGAGGTGGGGGGAGTAAGGGCTCGTTGTTGGTACATGCATGTGGATGTGGAATGGGGCGAGGGTTGGGGGATTAAGGGGCTTGAGGGGAGGGGAGGATGTGTATGAGGTCCAGTCCAGAGAGGGTGGGTGTATTGTGGTGCAAATAGAGGGCAGAGGAGAGGTGAAGGATGTGTGGCAAGGCCTTGTTGTGGGCCTGCAACACACTCCTCGCTCCATCCTTCCCATCCCTTTCGCTCGTCCCCCACCCTCCCTCCCCCCCAATCGAAGTCCTGGGGCTGGATAGTGGGGGGGAGTTGTGTTTCAGGCCGTCGGGCCTTTCTAACGGGCACCAGCTTCTTCCTCGCCCTTCCACTCCCCCACTCCTTCATGTCTTCCTCGCCCTTCCACTCCCCCACTCCTTCATGTCTTCCTCTCCCTCGCCCTCCCTCGCCCTTCCCCCCTTTGCAGCCCTGGGCCTGGCGAACACAGTGGGCTCATGCTTCCAGGCGTTCCCCACAGGCGGCAGCTTCTCGCGGTCGGCAGTGAGTGACGACTGTGGGGCGGCCACGGGCATGGCGGGCGTGGTGTCCGTGCTGCTCGTGCTCGTCACCCTCATGTTCCTCACGCCCCTCTTCCAGTTCCTGCCCTTGCCCGTGCTCGGAGGTGCGTTTGGTTTGTGTGGGAGGGAGGACGGGGGACGGGGGGGACCTTGGGATGGGCTTACGGGGGAATGAGTGTGGTGGGTGTGCGGCGTGCATGCATGCATGCATATCCGTGCATGCATATCCGTGCTGCTCACCCTCATGTTCCTCACGCCGCTCTTCCAGTTCCTGCCGCTGCCTGTGCTTGGAGGTACTTGTGTGAGGGGGAGGAAGGGGGAGGTGGGCAGGGCACGTGGGGATGGGGGAGTAAAGCATGTGAGTGTGATGGACGTGCATGCATGCGTCTCTGTGCTGCTCGTGTCTCTCATGTTCCTCATGCCGCTCCTCCAGTTCCTGTCCCTGCCCGTGCTTGGAGGTACGTGTGTGTGGGCAAGAGCCGGGTATTGGAGGGAATTGAGGTAGGATAGAAAGTACGTGCATGTGGTGAGTGGGTGACGTGCATGTGGTGAGTGGGTGACGTGCATGCACATTTGGAATTTAGTGCAATGGTTCTTGTCCCCACCATAACCACCACCACCATCCATATCCCCCATGCCAACTCTAACCCCCTTGGGTAGCCATCCTGGTGTCATGGGCTGATGGAACACCACTTCCACCACCACCATCAGCACAGTCTCCTATTCCCCATGCCATGTACTCCTCCCCCTTACCAACAGCCATCCTGGTGTCGTCGGTGTGCGGGCTGGTGGACTACGAGGAAGCGGCTTTTTTCTCCTGCGAGTGGACCCCCACCAATGCCATCATAACATGCCATATTCTAACGTGTGATTTCCCCCTTTCCCCATCTTCCCTTACCAACAGCCATCCTGGTGTCATCGGTGTGCGGCCTGGTGGACTACGAGGAGGCGGCCTTCCTGCTGCGAGTGGATCCAAAGGACTTTGTCGTGTGGATGCTCGCCTTCTGTGGCACTCTCTTCTTCGGTATCCAGGTGAATGGGGTGGGGCTGCTGCGTTCAGGTGAGTCTTTGGCAATCAACGAGTCGGCCAGCATGCAGATCAGCGGCCTTCTTGCTACGAGTGGATCCCAAGGACTTTGTCGTGTGGATGCTCGCCTTCTGCGGCACTCTCTTCTTTGGCATCCAGGTGCGTGGGGCTGCTGAGGTGTTCAGCTGGGGTTGCTGCCCTGTCAGGCTCCGCATTTGGGCCCTCGTTAGCAATCAATGACAGGGGAACTTGCTGTACTTCCCATTTCCCCCATCTTCCGAATTTCCCAGGATTCGTTGTCCAGTTTCTCCCTGCAGCGCACACAGACGGGACTGCAGGATGGGGAGCTTCTCCCTGCACCACACCTCGCCATCCCACCTCTCTGCACACTTCTTCCTTCCCGCACTCCAGAGAACGCAGATGGGGACGATGGTGGTGTGGTGAGCTCACTGCGTTTTCTCATCCACCAGTCCTCCAACGCACAGTTTCACGAGCGTTGCTCTTATCAACCCTCCCTCGTGCCCCTCCTCCATCCGCTCTTCCCTGCCCCCCCCACTCCACGCCGTGCAGACGGGGGTGATGGTGGCGGTGGTGATATCCCTTGGCTTTGTCATCAACGAGTCGGCCAATGCGCAGTGTGAGGAGCTGGGGCGGCTGCCCGGCACCACAGTGTACCGCACAGTGCAGCAGTACCCTGACGCTAAAGTTACCCCTGGCATCGCTGTCATCAAGTGCCACTCCCACCTGTAAGAGATGACTCTTGAGTCGACTCAGCAGGCTGCCCGGCACCACAGTGTACCGCACAGTGCAGCAGTACCCTGACGCTAAAGTTACCCCTGGCATCGCTGTCATCAAGTGCCACTCCCACCTGTAAGAGATGACTCTTGAGTCGACTCAGCAGGCTGCCCGGCACCACAGTGTACCGCACAGTGCAGCAGTACCCTGACGCTAAAGTTACCCCTGGCATCGCTGTCATCAAGTGCCACTCCCACCTGTAAGAGATGACTCTTGAGTCGACTCAGCAGGCTGCCCGGCACCACAGTGTACCGCACAGTGCAGCAGTACCCTGACGCTAAAGTTACCCCTGGCATCGCTGTCATCAAGTGCCACTCCCACCTGTAAGAGATGACTCTTGAGTCGACTCAGCAGGCTGCCCGGCACCACAGTGTACCGCACAGTGCAGCAGTACCCTGACGCTAAAGTTACCCCTGGCATCGCTGTCATCAAGTGCCACTCCCACCTGTAAGAGATGACTCTTGAGTCGACTCAGCAGGCTGCCCGGCACCACAGTGTACCGCACAGTGCAGCAGTACCCTGACGCTAAAGTTACCCCTGGCATCGCTGTCATCAAGTGCCACTCCCACCTGTAAGAGATGACTCTTGAGTCGACTCAGCAGGCTGCCCGGCACCACAGTGTACCGCACAGTGCAGCAGTACCCTGACGCTAAAGTTACCCCTGGCATCGCTGTCATCAAGTGCCACTCCCAACTGTAAGAGATGACTCTTGAGTCGACTCAGCAGGCTGCCCGGCACCACAGTGTACCGCACAGTGCAGCAGTACCCTGACGCTAAAGTTACCCCTGGCATCGCTGTCATCAAGTGCCACTCCCAACTGTAAGAGATGACTCTTGAGTCGACTCAGCAGGCTGCCCGGCACCACAGTGTACCGCACAGTGCAGCAGTACCCTGACGCTAAAGTTACCCCTGGCATCGCTGTCATCAAGTGCCACTCCCAACTGTAAGAGATGACTCTTGAGTCGACTCAGCAGGCTGCCCGGCACCACAGTGTACCGCACAGTGCAGCAGTACCCTGACGCTAAAGTTACCCCTGGCATCGCTGTCATCAAGTGCCACTCCCAACTGTAAGAGATGACTCTTGAGTCGACTCAGCAGGATGCCCGGCACCACAGTGTACCGCACAGTGCAGCAGTACCCTGACGCTAAAGTTACCCCTGGCATCGCTGTCATCAAGTGCCACTCCCAACTGTAAGAGATGACTCTTGAGTCGACTCAGCAGGCTGCCCGGCACCACAGTGTACCGCACAGTGCAGCAGTACCCTGACGCTAAAGTTACCCCTGGCATCGCTGTCATCAAGTGCCACTCCCAACTGTAAGAGATGACTCTTGAGTTGACTCAGCAGGCTGCCCGGCACCACAGTGTACCGCACAGTGCAGCAGTACCCTGACGCTAAAGTTACCCCTGGCATCGCTGTCATCAAGTGCCACTCCCAACTGTAAGAGATGACTCTTGAGTCGACTCAGCAGGCTGCCCGGCACCACAGTGTACCGCACAGTGCAGCAGTACCCTGACGCTAAAGTTACCCCTGGCATCGCTGTCATCAAGTGCCACTCCCAACTGTAAGAGATGACTCTTGAGTCGACTCAGCAGGCTGCCCGGCACCACAGTGTACCGCACAGTGCAGCAGTACCCTGACGCTAAAGTTACCCCTGGCATCGCCGTCATCAAGTGCCACTCCCACCTGTGAGCCTCCCCTTGCCTCGCCCCTGTGAGAACACCAGTGCACCATCGCACCCTCACCCACGCCCTGCTTTCACACCACTGCACCATCGCACCCTCACCCACGCCCTGCTTTCACACCTCGCACCGCCCACTCTGGTTTCCTGATTCGTTTGCAATGTAGCCCAGTGTCTCTATCCGCCCATCTGCTGGTTAACTTGCTCTGGGTGCTCTCCCCTCCACCCCTCCCCCCCAGGTACTTTGCGAATGTGAGCAACCTGCGCGATGTGCTGAGGCGCTACGAGGGGCTCACCAGCAGAACGCCTCTGCCCGCCCCCACCCCCGCCACCACCCCCACGCGCTCCCCCCCTGCCGCCACCGCCGTCGCCACACCTGCTGCCAGCACCCGCAACAGCACCCCCAGCCCTGCCCGATCCTCCACCAGTCCTAGCAGCCTGGCTCGGCGAGCCAGCGACGGGAGCTTGGATGGCCGCACCAGCAGCTTCAGAAGCGGCGGGAGCAGCAGGGGCGGGGGAGGGGGGAGCGGGAGCAGTGGGGGAAGTGGGGAGTGTGACGTGGAGGAGGGAGGGGGGGCAGGCGAAGCACTGGTGTCACCAGTAGAATCATCCGCAAGGGAACAGCAAGGGGGGAGGGGAGCGGCAGCGAAAGGGCGAGCACTGGCCGTTTCGAACATGCCAATAGAGTATGTGATTATAGACATGACGTCAGTGCATGCACTGGACTCAGCAGCGTGCCACGCGTTGAGAGATATCTGCCTCGAGTACCAGGCAAGAGGGGTGCGTCTGGCCCTTGCCAACCCCAGTGATGCAGTCATGCAGAGACTCACTCGGGCACGGATCCCAGACCTGATCGGGCGGCAGTGGTTCTTTGTCCGTATCTTTGATGCCGTGCAGCTCTGCAAGGCTGACATGGCGTGCCGGCACGCTGCGGCCTCTGGTGCGCTGCCACCTGGCGGGTTCATGGTTGCTGACGTGGACCAGCAGAGGATGGGGCAGCAGCAGCGTCAGCAGCAGCAGAGGGTGATGGTGCGGCCGCATTCCTTTTCCCAGGACATCAGGGTTGTTGCCCGCCCTGCACAGCCCGTTGGGCCCGTGGGCAGGGGCACGAGGGCTCAAGGGACGGACAGGCAGGGTGACGGACAGGGGCGGGTGGCAGGGGGAGGCAGGGGGCGGACAGTGACGTGGGGCGTGCAGGGGACGAGAGCACAGGGGGCTACAGAGAGAACTAGCGGGGATGAGGCAGATGGGGCGGATGGGGCAGAGGTGGGCACTGGATTATTGATTGGGTCAGGAGCAAGGGCGAGGGGGTCAGAGGGTGGTGGCAGGGATGGGAGCATGGCAGGGTGGCCGGAAGAGGATGAGTTTCCTGGCAGTCCGGACTACGGCATTGTCATGCCTGCGGGGGCCATTGCTGCCGCCGCTGCCTCCAGTGCTTCTACTGGGCTGTCCGAGGGGGGTGCCAGTGAGGGGGGAGGGTTATCAGGGATGGGTGTGGCGTCGCCTGAGTTTGCACCTTTGGATGATTTTGACGTGCAGGCGTTTTCAGCGCCGGAAGTGATGCAGTCCGAGTATGTACTGGCGGATGCGGAGGAGGAAGAGTCGGAGTGGGTGAGAATACGACGGGATAGGAAGAGGAGGGAGAGACGTCCAACTGCTAGGCCGGATGAAGACGGGGAGAGCACTGGGCAAGATGAGGCTGATGAAGATAGCCGCCCTACTTGCCCTGTGTGCCATGGCTTTCTGCCATTGGCTGATGGCCAGATGCCAGATTATGAGCCTAGCCATGTCCTTGTGGATTATTGTGTTTGCTTTAGTGACTAACCTGGCATGTACACTTGAAATCAATTCTCTAATGAGCGATGCGTTTCACCCAATTAGGGAGCGGTGGTGACGCCGCACGAAATGAGGGTTCGGTTAGCGAAAACGAATGGGATAAATCTAGGCCATTGCTTTGCTGCAAGATCTTTTCCGACACACGCCAGATCTCCAGCGGTGGCCCTACAGTTCCGTTGTTTAGGAAGACCGCTTCCATCAAGACAGCGACATATGTCTGTTCCAGATGTACAGTACAGCACTGAAGAATGACCTGATTGGTGGAAAGCTTTCTCTCTGTCCCCCTTGCAAAAAACGAACAATTTGCTTTGGCTAGCAAGCCAAATCATGTGATGTGAGACCAAAGGCGACCCGGCAGCACACCAGCACCGAATTCCTCCGAAAACGTGACGCACTGGACCCTCCTTCCCTGCAGTTTCCGCTTACAGCTTCCACAGTCCCTGCGATGTCGCGGACACACCAACTCTGCGAAAGTGTTCGCAGAAGTCGATTGTAACTGCACTTTCCTTGAAGCCGTTTGACATGATTGTTTCGCCAGTAATTCGCCCTTCTACGAAAGGTGCCATATGTTCGCCACTGTTCTTGAGAAATCTGACGCCCTCACTTCCACCATTTTCTTCTGCACCTCGCGTCACACTTGAATGGCCCAGACCTTGCGTCACTCCAGGCAACGCCATCGCCTCGCCACCGTCCCACTCCTCTGTTAGTCCCCTCCTGTGTTCCTCCTTTGGTCCAGCCACACCACTCCACTGCAGGTTAGGTGCAACATTGTGGCCCTGCCACCCACACGCAGTATTCACAAGTTCAGGGCTTTGGTCGTTGGAATTCGCGTTTGTGTTTATCGTCGCTAGTGCATGGATGACGGAATCCGCTCTTTGCGTGCCTCGCATGTCCCCCCATCACCACCGTGCCGCACACTACGGCGACCCGGCCTCCTCTCATTACGCCCGTTCGTCGCAGTCGCCAGGGCAGTCGCTGCCGCATTCTGATTCGTCGCCTTCGTCGCACGTCCATCGTCGTTCTCATGTCGCCTCCCCTGCCGAATCGCCCGTCGCGCCACTCTTGCTGGCCTCGTCGCAATCCTCCCCAATGCTCCTCTCGCCTTCCGCGTTTCACGATACCTTATCAGTAGCCTGGCCTCATCAAGCGCGCCCCGAATCCGAGCCGCTCCCCTCCGGCGCGCAGATGATCGGGGTCGAGGCGCCCCGACATCAGATGATCGGCAAGCGCCGAATGCGGAGGAACAGCGCGCCTCGCGTGGTGATTCTGCCGCCCATGAAGCAAATCAAGATCGAGCCGGCGCGCATCGTCAGCGTCGACGTGCCTGGCGGAAAGGCTCTTGTGGGAGAGGTGATATCCGGCCCAGATGCTGACGCCATTGACGTGTCAGTTCCTGGTTGGTCCACCGACATGCCCCAGTCGCTCATCCGCCCGTTCCCTCCGCCACCGCACGAGGCACCGCTCTCCGCGCCCACGGCATCATACGCCCCTGTTCCGCCGTGCGCCCTCCCTGCGTCTGCTTCCGCCGCCGCCTCACCCCACCGCTGCCCTCCGCCGAGCTTTCAGGAGCTCGCGGCGCGCACTCCCCGTTACAAGGGTGTGCGGCAGCGCAAGTGGGGGCGGTGGGTGTCGGAGATCCGCGAACCACGGCGCCGATCGCGCATCTGGCTTGGTTCATACTCGAGCGCGGAAGAGGCGGCGCGCGTGTACGACATGGCGGCTCGGATGCTGCGAGGCGACGCGGCGGGAAGTCTCAACTTCCCCGACAGCTACCAGGACGTACCGCTGCCGCCCGCCATCGCCGAATCGCTCGTCCGCGTGTGTCAGGAGGTCGCGGAGGACGCGGCTCGCGCGGAAGGCGGCGGAGGAAAGGGGGGGAACGCAGAGCAAAGGTCCTTCCGCGCGGAGGCTCTATCGTCCGATTCGTCGCCAGAGGAGGAGTCGGACAGTAATCCGACGGCCGTGCAGGCAGCAAGCAGCTGCGGCGCGGGTAGCGTGTTCTGCGCGCGCTCCGTCCCCACCGCCGAGATCTCCAGCCTCGTGTCGCCGCTCTCCCTCGCCTCCGCCACCCGTCCCGCCCCCTCCGCCGCGTTCCGCGTTTCCGCTGCAAATGTGCCCCCCCCAAGCTTTCCCCCGTCCAGCGCACGGCCGTTCTCCGCTCCTCGCTTTCCCCCCATGGTGGAAATCCCGCCGCAAAAGGCGCCTCCAGACGTAATCGTGCTCCCCGACTCGCCACCAGCAGAGACGGCGGAGGTTGAGGATCGAGCTGATGGCGACGCGGCAACGCGCGGATCGCGCATGACCACCGCGGCCTACACCGCTCGCCCGCGCAGCGTGCACTTGAGCAGCAGCGGCGGCTCCACGGATGACCCTCCTGCCGCCCCTCCTCCGCCCCACCCTTCACCTCCTCCCTCCACTTCCGCAGCCAACACTACCGCCACACCTGGCCCTCACACGGCTGCTGCTGTGGCTCCACCGGGTGTGCCTGCTGCGGCGGCGAGTGTGGCTGTTGCAGTGGGTGTGCCTGCGAGCGCGTCCCCCAGTGCGCGTGCCCCCACGGCAGCAGTGCACGCGCTGGCGCAGCTGCTCTCCTCGCTCGCTGCCCTCGGCTCCGCGCTCTCCCTGCCACCGCCTGCCGCCCCTCCAAGCAACAACGCCCATGTGCTTGGGCACGACGGCCAGGCGCCAGGCAGCACCATCCACGCAGCAGAGGACAATGTGCAGGTGCCAGGAAGCAACAATCAAGTGCCCGGCAGCAGCGGGAGCCTTCTGGGCGCGGCAGCAGCGAGGGAGCAGCTGATGCGCATTCTGCAGTCACCCCTGCTACAGTCACACCGCACACTTGCTGCTGGCGGGCAGGGGGGACATGAGGGACACGTGGAGCAACAGCAGCAGCAGCAGATGCAGCAGCATGAGCTACCTTTCCAGTTCCTGCCTCCCAGTGCTGCTGCCAGCAACAGCCCATGCACGCAGGCGGGCATAGCTGCGAGTCACATAGTTGTTGATAACACGCAAGCACCTCCGCCCGCTCCCTCATGGCCCTCATCGCCCCCGCCACCACTCAACGGCTCCACGCCTGCTGGCCTGCTCCGCACATCCCACCCCTCTCCCCCTCCCCAGCCCCCAAACAACGTGCCTGCCGCTGCTTCCCTGCAGTCAGCCTCACCTCTCCCTCCCCAGCCTCCCTTGGTTGTTCCCCGTGCGTCTCCGCAGGCCCCTTGCCCTGCCCCCTTTCCCCAGCCCCCCTGCACAGCGTCCCCGGCGTCCCCCAGCCCATACAGCAGTGCCTTTGACTTCGAGCCGCTGCTGCTGCTGGCAGGCGACGAGGGGGAGAGGGGGGAGGCTGCACCTGCCGAGGGTGTAGCTGTGCTGGAGTACGGGCAGGGAGAGGAGGGAGAGGAAGGGGAGGAGAGGAGTGTGCATGCGGCCATGGCTGCTGCTGCAGCGGCTGCAGTGGAGGCGAGTGAGCAGCACGGGCAGGGAGGGGGCATGGACCGTGCAGTGTCAGCCACGGCGGAGCAGTTCCACATGTGGCAGCAACAGCTGTGGGAGCTGTAGCACGAACTTCTCTCCGCTCCCCTGCTCTTGCACTTGCGCTGATGGGTCTCCTGCCTCGTGATTCTCATGGGTCGGCTGCGGCTGGAGCTGCAGGAGCTTCTGGTGTTCATGTCATGCTCAGCAGGGCGTGAAGTGTTGGCGTTCCTTTACTTTTCTTTTCTGTTTTCGTCCTGTGTGTTTTGTTTGCTGCTCGACAGGCCTCACCCGATATCATGCGCCTCCGCTACAAGGCCCCTCTGCTAATTTATTACCAAGTGGTTGGCCTTCGCTTGAAGGGCATCCCGTGTAGCCACACATCTCGGATGGTGGCTAGATGATGTTGGAGTTCCTTCAAGCGTCAGGGAGGCCCATGCTATCTGGTGACGCCGATTTAAATTTTGTTTGTGCTTGCATATTGCGAACCTCTATTTGATGTTTGTTTAAACCTTCATTTATTCCCGAATATCTTGATATTAAATACATTCACTAAGGATAAGTTTAGGTACGGTAAGGATCCCCAGCTGACAAGGCTATATGGGACTTTGTTCGAACATTATATGGACTCCTGAGTTTATCTCTTCTAGATGTCTATGTAATCACATTATTGCTATTGGCGATAACTAGCTAGTTTTGGTCAACTCAACTCCCAGCCACACAGCACACTCCGCGACGTGTGGGCTGGAGATGCACCCGCCAGTCCAGAAAAGCGGATCTCTTCCAGCTGGTCGTTGTCACTGTTGCGGACAGATAGGGCAGCGAATCTGACGTGGCGCTGTGAGCCTTTTTGAACCAGTTCTCCCCAGCTTTATCTGGTTTGTTTGGCCTTCCCAGTTCAAACCAGCAGACTTGTCCGCTCAGCAATTTCGGTAGAGCATCAGTTTAGTGACGACCAGACGAGAACACATCGCCGCCATGGCTCTCAGGTCAGTGTATTAGCCTCAATTTCTCGTGCAATTTCGTGTTGTCCAGTGTTGTGAAAGCGACGGTTTGTGCTGTGCAGAGTGTTCGCGTCCCAGGCCGCCACATCCCTGAGGGTTCGTTGCCTTCCAGCAACAGACAGCCTCATCGCTCCCTTCTGGCGATCCTTCGCTTCTGGTGAGTTTGCACTTCTTCATCATTAGCATAATCTAAGTAGAAACTTTGACACCCATAACAAGGAAATTATCTCGTGCTGCAGCTGCGGAGAACCGGAAGTACTTGAAATCACATGAATGGGTCGAAGTGAACGGCGAGGTCGGGACAGTCGGCATCTCAGATTTCGCCCAAGTGAGTAGTAACGTGGCATTTCGATTACAATTTGATTTGACTCAAACGACGTAGACTGAGAGTATCATTCGCCTGGCAGAATGAGCTGGGCGAGCTCGTGTTCGTGGACATGCCGAAGGCCGGGACGCAGGTCAGCAAGGGGCAAACGTTCGGCGTGGTGGAGAGCGTGAAGGCCGCCAGTGACGTTTACTCGCCCGTCTCTGGAGAGGTTGTTGAGACGAACGAGGAGCTCGGCAGCAACCCTGCCCTGGTGAGTCTCACGCATCTGTCTTCCCGCATTTAACAAGAGCAGATTGCGGAACAGCAGGACGATTACACTGCTTTCCCAATCTCCCGTTCTTCCCGTGTGACATTGTGCTGACTGTCCGTCCCTTATTGCGTCAGGTGAATACCTCTCCCTTCGCTGATGGGTGGATCATGAAGGTGAAGATTGCCAACCCCGCAGAGCTGAACGACTTGCTTGATGATGACGCTTACAACAAGCACTGCGAGGCTTCAGCACACTAAAAAACTGGCCTTGGCATGCAGTAATTCCATTGTTATGCCACAGTAATGTGATTTGCCATTCTTTTATGGTCCCTCACACCTTATACGGCATGACAGAGCACCCGGGAACAGAAAGAAGCACCCCATTTCTCACATTTTCATCCTCGGCCAGTACGAGTTGCTTCTACTGAGTTTGACAGTGTAAGATTGATGTATTTGCTATACAGTATAGACAGGTTCCTTAACATTATGGGATGTTTTGGGAGTGTTTTGGGTGAGGATGCTATTTAACTGCAAAATATTGGGTACCTTTACTACGTACTACAGCTTCCATGTACGCATAAAACAAATCCATGCCATACGCTCGTTCCTTGTTTCGGATCATGCCGTATACCTCAGGGAAGTATCCACCACTCCGCGATATCATAGGGCACGTGAAGTTTTGAACCAATTAGCGGATATGAGATTCGACTATTGGTTGACACCTTTTAGTTTTCTCGCCCGTAATTGGTGTTGTTGCGACAGCTCGAATGGGGTTGACTCCCTCGCTTTCACTTTACACGGAATGCTCAATGAGTGACGTCTGGCAGTGACGTGGCCAAAGCTGGGCGGAGAACGAGGCGTGGTACTTGCCTTGGGTGCTCTGTTGCCACCTCGATCGCACGCGCGCCAGACCTTCAACCTCCAGTCAGCTTCGTTCCCCCCAGTTCCCAGAAACCAACCACGCCCCTCCTCCCCGCACGCGCTGATCAGTGACGGTTATCGCAAACACATGTGTCGGTGTCTAGACCCCTTGTCCAATCACAGCACGCGATTATACATCTGCGCTTCCCCATGCTCCACTCTCTCCCTACAATTTGCTCCACCCACCCATCAGGCTTGACTTCCGCCTTTTCCCCGCATCACTGGTTCACCGCATTTGTGTCTTCATCATCGCGGCTCGTCTCTCTTCAACACCGCACACCAGCAATGTCTCTGCATCCCCTTTCTAAGCACTTCAGTGGAGCTTTTTTCGAGTTCACTGCTTGTGTGAGTGTCGAGACTCCATTTCCTGCTCATCGAAATTCGTTCCTCCGCCTCCTCCGTCCTCTGTGCGAATCGTTGTTATCGCGCAAATCGCACCGATGGCGGTCAGGGCACTGCACTCCTCCATCCACCCAGCCACACTAGCGAGTCGACCGGCACACGATCTTCGCAGCTCTTCCCCTCCCTCCCCTGCATTCGTCCATTTAGAATCCAAGCTGAGTTCCGCTGCCGTCGCTCGTCGCGTCCAGTCACGAGCCTCCCGTCAGCAAAGAGTAGTCCTAGCCTCGCATGGCTCGTCAGCAGACGGTCCGTCAGCAGCGGCGCCGTCACCACCACGTCAAACAACTCCTCAGCCCTCAACGGCAGCGGATCTGCCATCACATGCCACGAGCCGCGACAAGCTCGCTAGAGCTGCGGAATGGCTGCGAAAGGCTTCGACGGGAGCCGTGGTCGGAGCGGCGGCGGCGGCGGTGCTTCTAGTCGGGATTCCCGCTCCGTCAGTTGCGGAGAGCTTGCTAAGCAACGAAACGACGGATGTGCTGATGAGCGACGCGGCGATGGGCGTGGAGGAGGAGAACGGCGTGCTCACTCTCATCGTGCCGCGACCGCACATCACTGGGGTACGTGGCTGCATGCCACCGGCGATCATGTCTCACCATACAAACGATCTATGTAACACGAGTGGTTGTTAGTTGACGAGTTGAATACCGTTGGAAATCGAGATCAACGCAGTAAAATCACCATGAGCTGGCGTCGTCAGCGGATTGGCTTCTCGCGCTCCGCTCTTGGGGCTCGCTAGATCATGACGCGTCTCACGTGTCGAGGCGTCTCAAACCTCACAATGGTTCCATCTCCGTTTCCGCGCTCTCTCCTTCCTCGACCCCCCTCGCCCCTCCCGCGCGGTGCAGGTGGAGGCGGCGCAGCGGACGATGGTGGAGGCGTGGGGGATCGTGCGCGAGGCGTTCGTGGATCCCACGTTCAACCACCAGGACTGGGACCGCCGCCTCGCCGCCGCCATCCGCGGCAGTGTCTCGGCGGGCAGCGCGGACGACGCGTATGGGCTCGTGCACGACATGCTGGCGACGCTGGGCGACCCGTTCACTCGCCTGGTGTCGCCCGGCGACTACGACAGCTTTCGCGTGAGCAGCGACGGCGGTCTCGAGGGAGTGGGGCTGTTGCTCGCCTCCGACACCACTGACGGCCGCCTGGTGCGCTCCTCTCCCCCCTTCCCCCGCGCGCTGCCCTCCGCGCGCTGACTTCCCGACTTGCGCGCACATCCGCCGTTCCTATCGCTTGCGCGTTCTTCGCCATTCCCTCTTCCCTCGCTTCCTCTCGCCCACCGCTCACACCCGCCACGTGCTCGACTTGCTCTCCGCGCTTCCCCATCTCGTCCCTCCACTCACCCCTTCCCTCTTTCCGTCCCCCTCCCCCTTGTTCCCCCTTCCTTGTCTCCGCGCGCAGCTGGTGCTCTCGCCCATCGAGGGCGGCCCCGCGGATCGAGCGGGCATCCACACGGGCGACGAGGTCGTTGCGGTTGATCGTACGTTGCCCCTCCTGCACCCCCCTCCCCGCTCGTCTTCCCTCCTTTGCTGCTAATCCCGCCTGCTCCTCTTTCCTCGGATCGCCCTCATCGCTCTCCCTGTTCTCCTTCCTGTGGCTTTCAACGAACCCTCACACCCACCCCACGCCGCTCCATTGCTGCCTAATCCCCTCACTGCTCACCTGCTGCGCCCCTCGCTCCACGCCCTTATCTACATCTGCCCCCTCCCCCCTCTCCCCGCTGTGCAGACTCCCCGTTGAGCGGCATGAGCGGGCAGGAGGCGGCGAACCTGCTGCGGGGCAAGGCGGGCACAGCAGTCACACTCACCGTGCGCCCCGCTGTAAGGCCTCCCCGCATCCCTGTTCTAATACATCTCCTTACTGTCTCTGGTGATGTTTACTGCAATCTGCCCGCCCGCATGTCTCACGCGCTGATCCGACCCTTGTGCTGCAGAGAGCTGACGTGGACGGCTCTAAATCGCCGGACGGAACGACAGACATCCTGTTGAGGCGGGAGCCCATAGCGCTGTCGCCGGTGTATGCAACGGCACTGCCCCACCACACGGAGCAGGGCGCTCCCACGTCCACCGGCTACATCCGCCTCGCCTCCTTCTCCCAGAATGCGGCGGAGGACATGGCAAGGGCGATAGAGCGGCTGGAGGGCGAGGGCGTGGCGAACTACATACTCGACCTGCGCAACAACC